GCCCCAGTTTCGTGTACACCTCGTGAATATTATCCAATAGGACTGGGAAGGTTAGACCAGAAGGAAGGAACGCGTAGTAGATTAATCCATGGCTGGACCACCAAACTATTATCATTGTCTTCTTGACGTGTAAACTTGGTTTTGGAAAGATTTTGGAGGCTCATCCACACCCACCCACTGAGCAGAACGCTTCCTGTTATCATACAAGATCCATTTCTCATCACATGTTACAATACGATGGAGAAAGGCTCAACATCATTTCTTCTCAGCAGCGAACTTGAAACCTCTAAGCGCTTTAAGTGTTGCTGCTCCGTGAAATCATGTGGCACCCACTTGTCAAGCTTCCTCACCATTCCAAGCTGCTTGAGGGTGGGCAGCGACGACTGTGTGGGATACACCCATCTTCTTTGCAATTTCCCTCAAAGGTTGACGTCGATCTTCTTCGACTACTTTTAGCAAAACATCATGATCAACTAACGATGGACGACCCACTCGCTCTTCGTCTTCCAGTGATTCGTCTCCACTTCTAAACTTCTAGAACCAGCGACGAACCGTTCGCTCCGATGCTCTACCTTCTCTCCATGCAACGTTTATGTTTGTAGCTGCCTCCTTCGCAGTTCGATCAAGTTTGAACTCGTGAAGCAAAATCGTTCGAAAAGCAGTCTTATCCATTCAGCAGAAAAAAACCTCCTAAAATTTCCAAAACCTTACAGACTCCAAGAAAGTGCTATGACAGAAAGAGCAACTAACGACTTACCTAAGGAGCACAATATGTCGATTAGTCTGAATGGACAGCCGCCAGAATTTGAAATGATATGGCGCGTGCGCGGGAACGGCCAGAACTTTCCTTACAACCTTGCAATAATGCAATGACACCTTGTATTTTACAAATATCAGGGGAATATCAGCAGCGGCTCAGCCTGATAGAAGTGAAGATGTGAAATGAGCCGATAATGCTTCATTTTTTACTTCATGTTCGGAGTGGTTCCAAAATTACTGATGGAAATAAAAGCTGATAGGTTTTTCTTATAAATATAAAAAATATATAAACTGCAATGTGCATTAACTATCAAAAAGAGTTCGAGTTGCTGATAAGCTACTAAAACAGGTGTTTAAAGAAATTGCTTTCAAAAACCGTACTTATTTTCCATACAACCTAGTATTTCAATACCAACCGAAGTAGCTCCGCCCGCCTCTCAGGAATTTCTTGAAGTCAAATTCCAGAAAGAATTGTTCATCTGGTAATCAAAAATCAGTCGGAAAAAGAAAATTGGCGTTGCCAAATGGATTGAGTTTGTCGAGGAACAACCATTTTTCCATAGACAGAAACCAATCCTGAGGTTGAACTTTGAAGGTCCTGAAGTCAACTGCCAGTTCGCTTCAGCTCTTAAGTATAGGACCATCTCCCTCGCAGCTTGGACTAACCGTAACATCAGAAATCTTGAGAAAATACATAGCATTCAGCATCTGTATCGGCGTCTGTATCGGCATCTGTATCGATGGAGCAGCGTCGGTTACATCAGAGATTCCCTACTTTCATCTTATTAAATTGCAACACTTTTCTTTGCTTTTTAATCTGTTGACAGACTTGGGGATTTCATTAAGCCATCGCACCTTTTGTGCCCTATTTTTGTTTTTTTCCAAATAAGTAAATTGTAATATATGCGCCACAAGCGATCTCGGCCTAGAGATCGACGCATCGAGTACCGAGGGAAACGTGGTATCCCGAGGTGTAGTAGCCTGCGGGGTCATTGCATCTGACCCGACCTCAAACCTAGTATATATAGCTGGCACTCACCTAGGTGCTAACTCAAGTTAAGATTCGTTCTTATTGCCCAATTTGCTAAGTGCATTTACCCTTTGTTTTTTTTTGTAATTTGTCTCATCGTTTCACTTTGTTTGATAAAAATATCGTATTCGTATTCGTTATAACAGACGTAATATTTCACAACTAGATAAGTTTTGATCGGGCTCGATTAAAACCGAAATTATCCACAAGACGCTTGAAGTTACATGAGAGCCAAGCCAAGTGAGCTCGAATAAATGAGTTCAGTTGCAGAAATGTCTGTTATGAGCGGAATAACGCACAACTCTGTGGAGAACACAGTAGAGGATATGGTT